GCGCGTCCTCGGTATGCGAGGTACTTTCGGGGATGTACTCTCTCGAGGCGAGAGGGCGTCTTAGCATTATTGGTTTTACCCTCGAGAAGCCGCTGCCGCCGCCGCCGCGTCGGTGAACGGGGCTGCGAGGGGCTTAGAAGGGGTTCGGAGGGGGTGGCACCTTAAATGGAACCCGGGAGAACGGCTCGGGAGGCGAGAGGATGCGAGGGGGAGCGAGAAGTGGGTTTCTGAATGCCTCTTTGCTGCCACCGACAACGAGACTACTTCGCTTAAGTAATTAGACTGCCGACCGTTCGTTACCTCAGTCATTTCTGAAGAGGAGAACGAGAAACTGTCGGGCCCCGCTGTCTCCCTCGTACCGCGCCGCGCCGCGTCGACGCCATTTTTGCATTTCCAGCCGCGCCTGAAAAATCTCCGGGCACCGTTCACACTTCCCGGTAATTGTTAACGAGGCGCTTCGGTCAACAAGCGATTCAAAATCGCGTTTTCCACCGGTTGAAATCGCGTTCTTGAGATCGGCGATCCTAAATGCGGCGAAACTGCGGCGCGTTTCTATAAAAATTGGCTTCACCGAAATGGCCGAAGTTCCGCTCGGTCGATCGACAATCTATCCGCCGGGATCGTTAAATAAAAGAACTTATCAGATTGTAAGAGATTGGAAAAAGGGACGCGTTACTTAGGAGGATCAATTTCCAATGGTTACTTAACCATGGGTTTCGCAATGAATTCTCGTTTCAGCGAGCCTCCGAAGTTCGTGAAATATCGCAGATTCCGGGATCGAGGTGTTCCTACGAAGTCAGCCCTCGTCGAGAGAAGCCAATCGCGAGCAGGGAATTAATTATGTTCGTCGCTGAGCTGGCTCGCTCGAACGCTGCTCGATCGTGCGTAACGAAACTACGTTTCCAACCGATATTATTTAAAAGCCTGCCTCGGACGAGCCTCTGCTCGGATGCTCATGGCGGAACGGTTTCCCTGCACGCGTGCTGGTTTACGATCCCCTAAATTTCCCGCCGGCTGGTTAACTCCGATAGATTCCGAGCGATAATCGCGACCATTCGACTACTGCTAATTAGATGGGTTTATTAATAGGATATTTGATAATTGCACATTTTATTAACAGTCGCGTAATGATCGCGACCGCGTCTGCGTCCGTTCAAGCGGATCTTGGAGACCAGTGGAGCCGATTACTGTGTGCTGTCCAATCGCTGTGCTTTTCGTTTGTTTTAATATATATATATATATATATATATATATATATATACACTGCTCGACAAAATTATAGCATAGAACAATTTTGAATGAAAATTGACCAACTTTGACTGACGATAACTCCGCGAAAAATCATGGTAGGATGATGGCTTTTTCCTTAAATTAAAGCTTGAAGCCTATACTTTAAGATACTGTCTCTAGACTTTATGTTCGTTGCAACGTCATCGCTGTAATTCTTTAAATGTGAAGCCGTGTTTGACGTATTGAAAATGAGTTTATTAAATGGCGAAAATGGATCTTATTGAAAGGGTCACTTTGAAGTGCTGTAACATCGCGTTAAAAAATCGCAGCTACGTTCCTCTTTTTTTAAATGAAAGGGGAAGGATCAAACTTCATTCAGGTCTAAACTATATCTCCGATACTAATTTTACGAAGTCCGTGCAATTCGTCGAACTTGGCAATTTCCAATATGAAAAACTATAACATTGCAGTGATGAGGATGCGTCTAACCTAAAATCGAGAAAGGGTATCTCAAAGTAGAGATTTCAAGCTTTAATTTAAAAGAAAAATCATCATCCCACGATGATTTTTAACGCAGTTATCGTCTATCAAAGTTGATCAATTTTTACCGAAAATTTGTCCACGCTACAATTTTGTTGAGCAGTGTATATATTTATCGAATATGAAGCAAATTATGCTCGAAAATAAAAATTATGCCCGAAAACGGAGTCACAGAAATTGGCCACTCCACAGTAACCCGCTCCACTACCTCTCCTCTTCAAAAACATAGACCCTTGCAAAATTTTCCCGAGGACATTGAAATTTCTCATCTTTGAACACGTTTTCCGTTTCGCCGCGCGCTTTCCTTTCTGCAAATCACGTTCACCAGCAGCGTTGACTCCTTAACAACATTGGCTCCGCAGCAACGTTAATAATAGCCCGGCATATTTCGCGAGCTGCGTATCGCGAGTGGAAACCGCGCGAATAAAGGTTTCGCCGCGTATGATGGAGGATAGCGTTAAGCGGCCGGACGCGGGATTTCCGCGTAGTGTCCGACCCGGCAGATCAGCCGGCGCGATAACACCGTTGTTGATCGTTACGATTTGATTTATTCGCAATTATGGCCGCGACCCGCCGGCCGCGAACGACTCTCCATGCTGGACCCGCGGACGGTGCATCAGGTTTATGCGGTGAATTATTAGCGCCGACCAGTTTCTGCGACCATGGGGAACAGAGAGATCCGGGATCGTTGGGGTGCCTTCGATTATGAAAAGCCTAGATGAGGAAAATTCTTGCTTTATGGCCGGGCCTCTAAATTCTGAGCTGACGCGATTCTCTGTCTTTCAGCTTCGAATTTAGGGAGTTTTATATGCGATTACTGTATTAAGGATCTTTTCTGATTTTTTTCTGATGCTCCCGATTCTTAAAATTCTTTAAATTCTGAGGATCCTGGGTTCTGTGGATCTCTAGATCGTAGAATATTTCAATTCTTAATGTTTTATGTACTTGAGATCGTTGAATTCTGAACCATCGAAACAATAGAATGCCGAGTCTTTGTACTCTTTCATGCTCCCGATTCTTCAAATTCTTTAAATTCTGAGGATCCTGAGGCCTGTGGATCTCTAGATCGTAGAATATTTCAATTCTTAATGTTCTATACATTTGATACCGTTGAATCCTGAACCATCGAAACAATAGAAAGCGAGTCTTTGTACTCTTTCATGCTCCCGATTCTTCAAATTTTTTAAATTCTGAGGATCCTGAGGCTTGTGGATCTCTAGATCGTAGAATATTTCAATTCTTAATGTTCTATATATTTGAGATCGTTGAATCCCGAACCATCGAAACGATAGAATGCCGAGTCTTTGTACTCTTTCATGTGCTCCCGATTCTTCAAATTCTTTCATTTCTGAGAATCCTGAGGCCAGTGGGTCTCTAGATCGTAGAATATTTCCATTCTTAATGTTCTATATATTTGAGATCGTTGAACCATCGAAATAATCATCGAAACAATAGAATGCCGAGTCTTTGTATTCTTCCACGCACGACATCTTGAATCGTTGAATTTCCAAATCCGCTTCAAGTTTCCGAGTTCCTAAATTTTCCAGTCCGATTACTCGAATCGCGTAGCATTTTGAATCCTCAAGCAATCCTCGACAATTTGTATCTGACGCATCGACGAATGCAAATGATCGTCGAATGATTTAAAATCACAATCTGTCGCCAGCTCGATTAAATCCCCGATCCTCGATCACCCGACCGATTATCTCTATCGTTCTGCCCGCCAGAAGCGAAACGAGTCCTAACTTCGTTTGTTAGTTTCTACGGTAGAATAAAAAATCCAATAACGATCGCCTTCGGAAACGCAGATAAATCGTCGCGGTCCGCATAAACGTTCCCGTGCCACATCGTTTTATCAACGATCATCCCTGCGCACATTCAATGCGGTGCAATTTCATTCTGTCTCAAAAGTCCACGTAGCCTAGATGCAAATTTCTGTGCCCGCAGCGGCGGCTACAAAATCGACTGGAATCATGATCGTTCTGAGAATGATCACCATGCCAGATCGTATCCTCTCGCGAATTATTCTACTCCAGAAAATTGTTGCAACTAACGACTTCGTGAATCTGGGCAGCGAGTCGCGATAAAGTTGACGACATTCGGAACACGTATCTTGTCCCGGAGCTAAAATCTCGAGTCGTAATTATTCGAACGATTACTTAACTGAATTCATTTCTCGAAGATCATCGCGATTGATCGGATAAATAATTTCCACGGTCTGTCAACGCTAGATTTATGGAACACGAAAAACAGCTGTTTTATATTATTTTTTAAAAGTGACGATCAAATGTTTATTCTGATTTTTTAACAAGTGTTATTGTAATATTTGCCGTAAGTAATGTATAAATTGAATAAATAATTCATAAATGTATATTTACGATACGAATAATCGTGAATTAAAAGATTAGTCACCCGTCATTTTGATGGGTTCCGTAAATCTAGCGTTGATTGGGGGAAAGAATTGAACGTCGTCATTTTCACATCGACTTTTTCAATCATCCACTCTCTCGGACAGAATTTAAAGCGTATTACTCAAAATAATTTAGCAAAATAATTTATTATAGTTCGCACGGATTTAGTAATTTAAAGAATTTCGGTTGTCTTACTATTTCTTATTTAACCCTGCATCGGCTTCGTTTACGAGTTATTAATGAAAAACACTGACCAATAAGAGGCTAGCTCGGCTGGCGCGCGGCCGCCCAGCCAACGAGTGCACGAAGCCCAGTTCCGCTCATTGGCTCTGCCGTCTCCCACCAAACGATCTCGCCTCTGATTGGTCACCGTTTTTCGTTAATAACTCGTAAACGAAGCCGCGGATCGCATTTTCGCTAAGGAAAAAGTTGCTTCAAATCACCTCAGGAATCCCCTACTTTCGGATTGCGAGACATTTTTGGGACACCCTGTATGTGACACGAAATTCTGAAAAACATCCAAACATTCTTTTGCATCTGAAATTATTTTCTAAATTTTCTTACAACCAGATAAATGTCAAGGTTATGTCACTGTTTTTCGTTAATAACTCGTAAACGAAGCCGCGGATCGCATTTTCGCTAAGGAAAAAGTTGCTTCAAATCACCTCAGGAATCCCCTACTTTCGGATTGCCAGACATTTTTGGGGACACCCTGTAGTTTCTGTTTCCACAACAAGTACAGCGAAGTAGAAAAGCGTTAGTTACCGAGGTTATATCCAGAATTCCGCAGACATGTCGGCAGATAGCAGCTAACGTCAGGATCCTCCCGTGTTCCAGGTCCGCGGACGAGAAGGGTGAAGAGGTCGGACAGCCGTGGCACCAGCGGCACCCCCGAAGAGAAGCGGCCTAGAACGGCGTTCAGCGGCGAGCAGTTATCGAGGCTGAAGCGGGAGTTCGCGGAGAATCGATACCTTACGGAGAGAAGGCGGCAGCAACTCTCCAGGGACCTGGGCCTGAACGAGGCCCAGATCAAGATCTGGTTCCAGAACAAGAGGGCGAAGATCAAGAAAGCGAGCGGCCAGAAGAATCCGCTGGCGCTTCAGCTGATGGCCCAGGGGCTGTACAATCATTCGACCGTGCCCCTGACGAAAGAGGAGGAGGAGCAAGCCGCGGAATTGCAGGCAAAGTGACGACAATAAGATCCGTTCGCCGTTCGATCATAGATCCGTCGCGAATCCGCGACGATGCCGGACGCGCGTCTCTTCGTTTCGATTCGCGATCGCGGCTCAGAAAGAATTGGAGGAGTGTGAGCGGATGATTCCGGAGACGATGAATCGGAGACGTCCGATCCGTTCCCAGAGTCCGTGGTCCCGTATTTCGGGCCGTTCCTCCGTTACATTCCACGATACGGGCGATCTACAATCCAAAGATTAAACGTTTTCGATGCACTTGAACTTTCGGGAGACGGAATTCCTGCGATCGGACGCGCCAAACAAATTTCGAATCGAATCTCGTAGACGTTTTTTCTTCGCACGATAGACTGCGGTATTTATTTCGTTAAGGATACTAGTGCCACTGACTGTAGTCGCTCCGAAGTCGATCGGCTGACACAGGTGTCGGAGGGGTGGCACCCTATACGCCATCGCACAGTGTCACGCTTCTCGTAATTAAACTCTTTTGTTTTGCAAAACGATAGCAGTGGATTTGTGACTTCGAATTTGCATAACGTTGTAGAGGGTTGATCAGATTTTTCAATGTGTAACGAGAATGTCAAAGGGTAATTTAGACTCTGTTTTTAATTGCGCAACTGGATTTTTAACACGTTGAATGCCACGTCGGTCACATATGCGCCGTTTGTTTTGAAAGTGGCATAAGTCACTTTGTTTTTAAGTCGATATATTTATTGTTATGTATATTATTATATACGTTTAAAAATATGGATGCTAACTTTCGAGAAGATTTACTTGTATTTGTTATCTCAGGATACTGATATTTTTCTCGGTATAAATAATTTCGTATAAACATTAAAAAATCACCACTTTTCATTACGGTAAAGTGACTTATGCCACTTTCAAAATAAACGGCTCATATGGTTCTTACTAATGTTTGACCAATTCTCAAAATTCATTTCTATTGCATTGTATGCGAACAAAATGAATTCGACCAGGATGTTTAGATTGCGAAAGTGTCAAAATTACCATCCACTATGATAAATTTTAACTTTCTATTTTTATAATTAATAAATCGCTTTGATTCGGTGGGAATTCTTGGGGGTTGATAGCCGGCACTCTGCGCGTTAATACTCTTTTATGCAATGTCGATCATAAAATATATTGCGGATTTTATTTTTTATTAATTTATGACAAAAGTGAATAGGCGCAACATCAAATTGTGAAAATATTTGAAGAATTTCAGCAGATCGTTATGATTATTAAATTGATTAAAAGATAAAATTAATTTTTTTATTTAATTTCTGTTACTTCCAATTAACGCAACAAACTTACAATTTGCAAACAAATTCTAACCACAGACAATGCTACATATAAAAATCATGACTGACGAGCAAAGCGATTCATTATTTTTTAACTGCATCGATCATGCGTCATGGACGTCGCAGTCCTTCAAATTCCACAATTTGTATACAGAAGATATGAACACAAAATGATAGATCGTGTCGAAAATCTAGCTGCAATTCAGAGCAGAGATGAAATCGCGTTCGTTGTTGTCAAACTTTGAAAGGTCGATGTAGCGATCGAAACATAACTTGTTGTTGTGCACAAGTGAGGGATGGTCGAAACGACCTTGTGCGGCAGATCGACTCCGGAGAAGACTGTAGGCGCCTGACCGACTGCTGAACGAATTCCGCGAGGATTCGTTGTCTTAGAGCTTCCTGTTTGAGACTCGCCCGCGCGATATCGAGAGCTCGCGAGTCACCCGGATGGAAACACCGAATATCATAACCGTCGCGATTGTTATTCCCGCGGGAAGGAAAAAAGAAGAAGAAGAAGAAGAAGAAGAAGAAGAAGAAGAAGAAGAAGAAGAAGAAGAAGAAGAGAGACTCGCGCGTTCCCAAGCGATAAGAGAGGTTCGGTGTTGGTGGAATGGAGGAATGATTGGTCGTGAATCATACCTAAGTCAGCTGAGAATGGGTTGTACAGTGCCATTTGTACAGTAATCTCGAGGTAACCGGGTCGAGAACAGTCAATCGTCGTTCCGCCGAGGGAACCGGAAGACGAGCAAATATTTCGGGGAGAGACGGTTTCGATCGAGCGTGGAGAGAGAATTGCGAGAAGCTAGTTCTATTCCGTTAATTTATTGTAAAAATGTAAGATATTCGTACAATTGCGAGGTGCAATAGAATCTATATATATAAATACAGAGAAGCGAAGAATAGAAACGACTTATGTATAGGTATAAATATATAAATATATTAATTGATAAACCCGTCGTGTAAATAAAGCCGAAAGCTTAGCGAGAACGTCGTCTCGATAGACTGTTTAAAAGTAACTTAGTTATTTATTTACCTATGCTATGCGGATCGCACGAAACACGGTAACCGGCGATCATACCTTGTAAGGATTATTTAAAAAAAAATCGAATTAAATATTCCCACTATCGCGAGCCACACGTAGCACGACTTGTTTTACTTGTTTCACACCGGAGCCCTCCCCTCCCTTCGATCCAGAACAATGGTTCAACCGGATGCGAACGCGTCGATCAAATAATTATAAAATCCAACGACGGCCCGGTCGTTGGTTAAATAACATGTTCTCTTAGACGTTTTTTACACTGTCTGCCACAATTTTACGTTCGAAGGAAATATTTCCGAACAATAGCATAATGGAAGAACCCCGCGAGCCGCGTTAAAAGCACAATTTCCCATGGACGAATTATTGAAAAGTAAAATTTGCGGAACGAAGGCGTAGTTACGAATACTCTGTTGCAACTTGTAAACGTAAAACAAAGTGCACGTTGCGACAGTTACCTATAAAATGACAAAAATAAAAGAAGAACGATATTCGACCGATATTTTTGTACAGATTGTTCGAGAAAGAGTAGAATAGAGAGAATGATCGGCGCGAAAGCGTAGATAATTAACGAGGTCGTCGAAATCAATCGGGCCCAGATGCTTATCGAAATGCATCGGAGAAATGCGGGAGAAGGAAGCCGGGAGAGCAAGGTAGTGGGAGAGAGAGAGAGAGAGAGAGAGAGAGAGAGAGAGAGAGAGAGAGAGAAAGATGGTCGTTCGGGATCGGCGTCGGGATAAAAGGCACGGGGCGGGTCGATTCGCATTCAGCATTTGGCGCATGCTTCCACCCCCGACGCCGTATTTCAGCCTCGTGCGAACCCCATGGAAAGCCCCTCCCGTTGCCGCGCGCGCGATATCGATTGATTTACAGTCGAAAGGTGGCCATCGTTGATATCAAACCAGCCACGCCTACGTTACGCCGCGAACGCGGTGCGTGTGCTGCGCGGTGAGTGCTGTCGACCGACGCATTTTATACTTCGATTAACCTTCGACCCCCGCCGACCGTTCCACACCCCCGACATACCCTACCGGCTTCTACAAAATCGCTGACATACAAGCACAAACCTGTGCAGCGATTTTTCTATATCGCGGCAGTCGATAGTGGCTACATTTGAAAATCTTGTACTTAATGAAGACTATATATATATACGTTATCGGTGATAAATATTTCTTTTTTTTTAGAAAATACTGTACGCGAAATTTTTTACTTTAACCAGAAGGTTTAATTTACTTAATCTTCGTCCTTCTGGCTGAATTGAAGCCTTCTTCTTTTCTTGCACTTTCTAAATCACGACAGTCGATAGTGACCGCTAGACATTCGAAAATTTTGTACTCAATGAGGACTATGTTATCGGTAATAAATATTTTTTCTTTTTGAGGAAATACTGTACGCAGAATTTTGTACTTTAACGAGAAGGCTTGATTTCCTCAATTTTCGTCCTTCTGGCTGAATTGAAGCCTTCTTCTTTTCTTGCACAGTACGATGAATTATTCACGACAAAATTAATAATACATTTTTCGTAAATAATTGTGGAACAAAACTTTCTGCCATAAACCTCCGGACAAATAACCTCTTATGAATATTTATGGTTCCGCGTATGATAAGAAACGTTTGTGTACCGAAGAGGAATCGAGAATTTCCTGATTTTTAAGCCCCACAAAAATAATCATTCAACGATTAATAATAAAACGGATCTCAATTGCATCGACGACAGTGTAACATTCATCGATACTCGTCGAGATTATGCGAATCTGCGCCGCAGTGTCGGAAACGGGAAGGACGAGGGCCGGATTCGTCGACACCGGAGATAAATAATTTCATCGGCCCGGCTTGTTAGCCGATTTTTCTTTCTCGGCGCCGTCGCCGGAGATCGTCCAGGATTCCCGAGGGACCCGAGTCATCGTCGTCGTCGTCATCGTCGTCCTCGTCGTCCTCGTCGTCGTCGAGGATGCCCGGTAAGTAATAGACGACATTAGCGTACAAGCCACGTCCGAGGGAACGGACCGTCCGCGATGAATAATCGGCGACAATTATTTTTTACAAGGACTTCTGTCGAGGGACGACGGAAGTCCGCCGTGTTCGTCGATACCTGGCCGGTCCCACGATATTTCAGCCGGAGGTTGCTCCGAGGAAAAATAAACGAGTGTCCGGGAAATCAGGTATAGCGATCGAGTGCCAGATATGCGGCGTTGATTAACGAAACAGCTTGTTCCGTCCCAAATCGATCGACTGTATCTTTCAACCGAGCTGGAAGAAAAAAATGTCCCATTTCGGAATTCAACCTTCGAGTCGATTATTTGGGCCCGCGTGTATCGGATTTATTCGGATCACGGATCAGAGATACAGAGTAACGAATACAATTTTATTCGACGCAGTGTTATCGATGAAATAAGAATTTGATTGAAACTGAAAATTTAATTTGGATTTTAATGTTCTTATAAATTTGCGTACAATACGTAGCAGTACATAACAATACGTAACATTACAATGGTCAACAATCTTTCCCGTTATAATTCGAATAATTTTGCAAGCTCCATTGGAATAACTTATTCGAATAAATAGATCGAACAATTTATGACGTATAATAAATAGACTGCGAATTTCTGTGCACAATAAAGATCGCATCTTGATAGATTAATGCGTCGACGTTTTAAATTTCCTTGAATCTGTATCCTATTTTAAATTGTAAGTATGTACCGGGTTTTGCCACGAATGCATAAAGTCCGCAGTCGAATAATGAATAAACGTGATCTGAATAAAATATTCGGCTGAAAAGAATTCGTTCGGATAATTATCTCCGATAAATATTTATACGAAGCCATTGCGGATAATGGCAAACTCTGCTGTATACCTTCGAACTAATTACTAATTAACGCGTGGAAACGTAGACGCCGTAAAGGGCCATTAACGGATAGATAAATGCTGCATTATTGATATTTAACTGCTTCGGACATTGCAGAACAGGATCGATAAGGTCCAACTTTCTAGAAATTGCATGAATCACTGCGGTCTTAAAGTTCGCTTTGACAGTCCGCCGAACGGCTAACACGTCTTAATTAGTGAAATCGTAATGTAATTACTGAAAGTTCGCCTGAGATATGATGAATCACTTTTACCGTTCGGTAGTTTCCGCATTAAACCCGATCGAAGCGACGAAGCTGGCTATTAATTTACCGATAATTTCCGGTATAGGTATTAAACGACCTCCGAGACTAGTGATTTATGGAAAAATCTTCTGTGACAGCGACAGCACGCGTCGCTAAGTAATCATATTTGTCACGCACGATTCTTTCGTACGTACTTTCGTTTCAGAAACGGACGCATAACGTAGACCGGCAAACGAGCCCAGATAACGATC